TTTAGGCAAAGTGACCACTAAAGGACTTCAGGGGTCCAGTCTGTTCCTGGTGTTCTAGGCCACAACTAGGATCATTTTCTGAGGAAAGTGAACATTTACTCTGCAGGAAAAGGACATTAGTTGCTGCTCTTTATTGGGGGGGAGATCATGCTGCTGCCAGGATTTTTTTCTTCCAACTACTTTTGTCACATTTTGTATAACTTCAGTAATGCTTTTGAGAAAATATTGTCCTGAAGTGTGCGCCATTATTTCCATTTGTACAATTCATGGTGTCCCGCTGCTCACTGCGAGGGCAGTGCTTTCACTCCAGCCTTTGACCGTAGTTGTTTGGAACAGCTATAAAATCGTGTGCCTTCACATGTGGTTGTTCAGACTAGTTTGTTTCAAACGTACCTTTCAGTCTCCAGCCTTGGATTTTAGCCCCAGTGTTGAAAAAGCACACACTCTGCTGAAATGTCCTTGAACAAATCCCTGAATCCCTACACGCCTCAGAACTGCTGCCCTCTGACCTCCCTGTGGAGGAGAACTACAGCCCCATATTATCATTATCTGGCGAAGATCCAACACAGAACATTCTAATATTATTTATTTTAATCTAAAAATGTTATTCTGAGGTCACCAAGAAGTGAAATCCAAACTACATGTCCATTAAGAAGTTTGGAGTCAAAGAGAGTCTATTGAAAACCTTCCCTGAATGACTAAGTGAGAGCTGTACTTCAGTAAGACTGCTGAAGTCTGCACATCATTTGTACGGTACATGAACGATGTGTGTGTTTGTGTCTATGTGTGTATGTGTGTGTGTGTGTGTGTGTGTGTGTGTGTTCACATCTATGACTGCTCCGGTGTTAAACAGAGTAAAAACGAATGCCGAGGAAAGAAGGAGAAGAAGAAAGAGAATGAGCCAGCACGCGAGAAAATGAATGAAGGAGGGAGAAGAGACGGATACGGTGACAGTGCCGGTGGGGGGGGTGAAATGAAAGAGACTGTCAAAGTCAAACAAATTCAGAGGGATCAATGTGCAGACTTCGCCTGGCATATCCAAGGGAGCGCCAGACTCAAAGCTCTTCAAGCCTGCAGTTCAAAGTGGTGACACGTCCATTAGAATTTCTAATTCTGATCGCATCGACAGGCCCACGGCTACGGCACAAGCAGAGACCGGGCTGAGAGGAATCTAGGCCACTGCTCAGAGAGAGAGAGAGAGAGAGAGAGAGAGAGAGAGACAGAGATAGACAGACAGAGAGAGAGAGAGATTACTGTATACTGTTCTTTTTTATTCCTGTATTATTCAAAAGTCTACATACTGTATCGTTTTTACATGAGTCCTAAAAAGTTCAAGCATACCCTGGATGTTATTGAGAGGAAGAGATACTTCCTCTCTTTAATTGTACATCACTTATTTATTCATTCACATCTTAATTCAAACAACATACACAAGGCAGAAGGAGGCTTTCAAGCTTTAGAGTTACATTTATGCTGATTTTCAAACTCTTTATTGGACTATTCTAATTTCAAAACATCTTAAAATAACACAGGAACTGAATGTTTCTCACAAAATATTATTACTTATTGTACAGTGGAAACTTTCATCTGTGACCAGTGCTATAGATGATAATGATAGCATGCAGAATTTCAGATAATGAATATGATATTAATATGTTAATAACGTTAACAATACAAGAAGGAGTTTACATGTTCCATCAAGTGCCCCAATAAAACCATGACAGTGAGGCAGGAGGCACAACACTGGGACCCTGCAACCAATGGTGGAAAATAACTGAGTGCAATTACTCCAGTACTGTACTTAAGTGCTCTTGTACTTTACTTGAGTATTTCCATTCTATGCTACTTTATACTCATACTCCACTATACTTCAGAGGGAAATATTGTTCCTTTTATTGCACTACAGTCATTTGAGCGCTCTACAGATTCAACTTGTATTCTAACTAAAGGCACATACAGTATGATGAGCTTTTAAACTGCATTGTCAAAGTATAAACTAATGGTTCCCAACATTTTTGGCTTGTGATCCCTTATAATAAAAGCAGCTAAAGGATGTTTAGGATCTATGATATGTTTTATCATTTAAACCAAAGCCATGAATTCTCTTTAAACTACTCAGATAATTCAGGTGTGAAACCATTTCCACTTCTGAAACATTGTTTAGGTCAACTGTTGTAAAACAACACGAACACATTTAACTGCAGGTAACAAAATCAACAGTGGTCGTCTCGAAAATGTCCTGACACGGAAAATAATGGAGTCAGCAGAAGAAAAAAAAAAAGCCATTTTGTGACCTGTGTTCTTTCCCTCCACCTCTTTCATTATTACCATGCACTGTATTAGGGCTGCATTCAGATCCATAATAGCAAATTGGCTTTCCTTCATGTCCTGCCTTCAATGGGCTCCCTTGTAATGAAATTTTCTTTCATACAAGGAGTCCATCTGGTCCTCAGCAAGGGAACAAGAGCGAGAGATGAACGGAAATTTAAACCATCCACAAAACCAGTTTCTGCCTGATATAACCTGGGTCCAAATGTCACTCAGTTTAACAGTTTCATCAGGAATGTCAGGGATTCTTGTTCTGATTTAGTGGAGAAAATCCACAGGCAAAGATTTTGATTTGTAATTATATGTCTATAATATCTATAAATATAGAGTCATGTTGGTTGACCACATGATCTAAAAAAAAAAAAAGCCTTAAATGCCCCGTCCTCATATCTGTATTCATATACATTCGTAAAAGCATTTAATTGTGGAAGAGAGACAGTGTGTTTGCTGGTGTGGGGATGGGATGGTGGGGCTACAGAGGCGGGGGTTGGGGGGCAGGAAATCTGTGGGATATAAAGCCTAATCTGCTTAGGCACTTCCCTGTCGGCCGAGCTGCAGACTGTGGCTGAGAGGAGTACGTGCTAGCTTAGTGCAGCTGTCAGGAGCTGCCTGCCACCAAATCAATACCGGTCTTTTTCTCCTCCACCTCTCTGCGTCTCTCTCATGCCTCCACCCCCTGTCGTCTCAGCCTCAGCCGTCAGCTTCTCCTGCCGGTGCTAAATCAATGACTCCTGAAGCTGATTAGCAGGTTCAAGTGCAGGTCATTTCACACAACCACACAGGACAGTTTTACCAATGAACACGTTCACAGTGACTGCAATGACTGCGTGCATGACAGAGGTGAAGTTTTTCTTGCCTTCCACTATTTTGAAAAGTTCAGCTGCTGGTTTTGACAGCGTTGCCTGAAAACCTTCCTCCACACACTGAACAGAGCAGCTGCTGTTGACTGCTTCCTCAGCGTAGTCTTCCTCAGAGTGACAGAGGGACCTTAAAGTCGCAGTGGAACAGAAGTTAGAGCATCTGTATCTTCAGTAATGTGACGTGTTTCCATGTGAAACGGAAAATGCAAGTGGGGTTTAGTTACCAGAGGGATTTAAGTCAAATCCTTCAGATGTGATTGGATCAATGTGGCCGGGGTTTTAAAGAATACAACGGAGTGAGAAAGACTGACGAAGTGCAAGTTTTTCAAAAACATCGAATTTTGCTGAAAGGTGACAAGTTTGCAAAGTTTGCAGCTTTGAGACGGGAGATGAAGAGCTGCAGAGGACTCACCTCCCTCACCTGTGCTGTCAGAGCAGGAGGAGCTGGTGTGGTTCAATTAGACCTCATTCCTCATTCAGCCACATGCTCGGTTTCTACAGGTCTATCAGCTGAAATCCAAACACACAACTTCCACTGTGGTACTGCTCTTCTAGCTACAGTTGTTAACTGTCAGGTTCGGTTTTGTGCAATGGGGTTAGACAGTCATTACAGTCACATTTGATTGAATAGATTCATGTGACCACTGGGATTGGTCATTGTCAAAAATATTTAGATGTTTTAAAGGAGGAAAGATGCTTTTTGTTCTAAAAAAAAAAATATTACAAAAAAGATTTTTGTGACATATTTAGATGTGACAAAAGAATCACTAACACAGGGAGACAGGATCTGCCTTAGCGCCCTGATCTTTTTATTTAATACTAAGCTTTAGTGATGCAAACTGATTTTAAATCAATCAAATTACAACAAACAAACTGACATATGAATCTGGGGCCTTTGGGGCCCTTGAGGGTGGGACCCTCACAGTCGCCTGCTTTGCCTGGTTGTTCACTCGAGGTTGGAGCTCAGCTTTCATCTTATTCACAACAGCATCACTGGTGCCAACAGCTACTGAGTTATATCAGCACGACAGCAGCCTTTAACTCACACATTGTGTTCAGCAAACTTATTAACCAAGTCTAATACTGAAGGCATGTACATCCATTGTGAGTTCATATATACAGCATGATCAGTGAAGTGACCGAGAGACAAGCCCTCCTGAGCTCCACGCCAATAGAAATCCAATAGCGCCTCCAAGTGGTCACACAGGTGCATAACAAGCTGTGAACTGAGAGGTGACATGTGCAGAGCATCCATCCATTAACTTATTATCATCTTACCGCTTATCCTGACAGGGTCGCGGGGGCTGGAGTCAATCCCAGCTGATGTTGGGCAAGGGCCAGGATCACCCTGGACAGGTCGCCAGTCTATCACAGGGCTGACATTTAAAAACAAACAACCATTCACATTCACACTTTGGGCACTTTAAAATCAACCTAATGTGCATGTCTTTGGACTGGTGGAGGAAGCCGGAGTACCCAGTGGGAACCCACACAGGCACAGGGAGAACATGCAAACTCCACACAGAAAGGCCCCGGGCTCGGGTTCGAACCAAGAGCATTCTTGCTGTGAGGCTAACCGGCTAACCACCTCACCACCTCACCACCTCACCACCTCACCACCTCACAACCTCACCACTTCACGGAGCATGATGTTGTTACTCATTAACTATTTTGCATCAACAAATTATTGTGTTCCAGCCTGGAATATACAAGATGTCCAAGAGTGTATATACACACAGAAACATGTATGTTTACATGTGGTAAATAATCTCTGCACAGTGTGTAAAGATGCTGCATTACACAGTCATCAGATCAGCTTTGAGGTTTTGTTTACTACATTTCTGGAAAATAGTTCATGAGCACATTTGGGATATCGAGGGATTTATTTGGAAAATACAAGCAAGTAGAAGCTGTTATAAGACTATCATAGCTCTAGGAGATGTATGTGTTTTAGTCGGGAGTGGGACATCGATATCTGACAGGATACAAAAACACTCAACAATAAACAAATCAGAGTGGTTAGTATTTGCAGTTTGAAGCTCTACGTCCCTTGGTTTGTGGCCTAATCTGTGTAGCTGCCTGCTAGTGGATAATGTGTTCTTCTGGAAGAGTACAAAACATACTGGACGACCACACAACACGTGGCAGTCACTACGGAAACACAGGAAGCTGGTGTGTTGGATGGAGCAGGACGGAGGCTCTCAGCTTATCTTATCAAAAGCTAATATGTAAACTTTCCCTCTAGGCTTTGCTCTTCTCAGAGCAGTCCTGCTCTGCGCTCTCCCCTCCGCTGCCAAACCTCCGGCTCAGCTCTGCCGTCAACAACGAGCAGCACGACTTCTGTGGAAGACGAGAAGAAAACAGTCAGGAACAAACTCAGTGCATGATGTGATCACACTGTGTGAGACTCTTCCCTACCTTGCCATCCTTAGCTTGGTTGTGCGCCCTGGACACGAGCTCCAGCAGGGCCAGCAGCAGCCCGACACTCAGTCCTAGGCCGAGGAGGAGGAAGAGGCCCCTCAGGTCGTTGGGCTGCAGGGCCTCGGAGGTGTGGTCCCCGTCGTCCCCCATGCAGCTGCTGGCCCACCACTTGTCCCGCAGGTACGTGAGTTCACCGGACTCGCTGAGCTGGAGGATGGCCACGGTTAGGTTTTTGACCAGCGGGGAACCTAGTGGTAAAACAAAGAGGCTGTTGAACATCTCCATGAACATTAAGTTGCTTTAGTGCGGTCCATCGCTGATGTTGGCTGATCACACCTGGCTCACACTCAGGTCTGGTGTTGGATGGGCCTGAGGTCTTCCACACAAAGCTGGGACAATCATTCCTCTCATCTGAGTCTCCTGCTCATCACATTTAAGCTTTACAAGCAGTAGTGAGCAATTTACACACTTTTATTGCCCTGGATTTTGCCTCTCAGGCAACATAGAATCTGCCCCTACCTCCTTCACCTGAAAAAAAAAGACAGACCTGCATTTTTCTTTAAAAATAAGAATAATAGTTTAACTATTTTTATAAGTTTTATTTTATACTACAGCAAAATATAACAATATGACGTACAGAAACATCAGCTTTCATCAGGACAAGAGAAAACATCCTGACAGGATGACAGAGGTCTCACCCAGAGGTGCTGCAATGGAGTAGGCCCTCATAGCGATGACTTCCTGCGATCGGGTCAATTTACAGTAGCGAGCCGCTGCCAAGTCCAAGGACACTGCTTCACCGATGAAGGCAAAATTTCCCTCTTGGGCGCGGCGAACACCTTCCTCCATGCTGGACACGTAGCTCTTCTTACGCTCCATGTGCTGGGAGATACGCCGGTACACAGCGTTGTTGGAGTTCTGTGAAAGAAAAGAATGAAAAATACAACATTTAAATCCTCCCATGTTTTAATTGTGTTAGCCGGACTCAGACCGGCTGTAATGACTATAAACATTTAGTTAGTCAGGAGCTGCTGTGCCTTAAAGAACTGCATGGTGGATCCAGCCTCGACTGTGCCATAATCAATCACATCCTGGTTGGCGAGGTCCTCAAAGCTCTTGATGGAGACGTGTTTGCTGTTGGAGTGCAGCATGGCATTGAAGTTGCCAAAATAGCAGGCCAGCAGCATCACAGCAAAGAGCCACCAGATGGCGCTGACCAGACGGCCAGACAGGGCTTTAGGGTGAGGGCCAGCACCTGAGAGGACACAGACAGCAGTCAAGTGGCCAGCTGAGGCTTGGCTGGACACACACTCCTTTTAAAGATAAAACGTAATATTCATGAAATAAATTTACAATCATTACAGTTCAGTTTGCCAAAACCTTAAAGGTCCCAATTTGTATAAAGTGAGATTTCCATGTTTTTTAAATGAAATGATAAAGCAGGTTTAGGTTTTATATTAATACTGTGAAAATATCAAAGAGCTCAGTCTGCAGAGAAATGCAGACAGTCTGTATTCAGAAACTGAGCCTTAAAACCCCTCAGGACTTCTGTAACTTTGTGATGTCACAACAAAACAGTCGACACTCTCAGACATGCCCCAAGCTCCGCACCATCCAGCCTTGCAGGATTTGGTTTCTCTGAGTGTTTACCTGAAATCTGCAATATTTTATTGGATCACTCAGAAAACAGTCAGCCAACCGACCTGCTGTTACTAGAGCTCCAGAGAGAAGCCTGAGAGAGGAGATGTGAAACCACACTGAGATGGTTTTTGGTTCTTAAAACCACAAATATATCTTCTTGTGGATCAACACTTCAAATAAAACACAGTAGAAGTGAAAAATATGGGACCTTTAACACACAATACAGGAAGGAGGTCATACATGATGCAGCATGTTTATCGAAGCATCGCACCGTGTTCGTCTAACAATGCTGTCACTGCTGTTTCCTCTACAATTATAGAACTGGGAATAAAAAAATAGGTAAATAAATTGTAGGTAATTGATTGTAAATACAGATAATATAGCTTACACCACACTACTGTAAATCCTAATTATAGAAGATGGAATGATTGATGGGGCTGTACTTCATATAATTGATCTACTTCTTCTGTTCTGTATCTACTGCAACCTTTGAGTTTTTATTCATAACCTCGAGCCGCCACACTGAACATTTCAACCAGTTGTACATGTTGCAGAGTCACTGAAGTTGTGTTGTGAAACATTTGCCAACGCCATTATAACACACTGTCCAATCATGAGGTTGCAGCGCAGCACAGTATAGAGAGAGAGAGAGGGGCAGGCGGCAGCAGTGACTGTGGCTCCGTTCAGCTGACTGCTGGCTCACCTTGCAGGGTGAGAGCTCCTGTGATGTACCAGAAGCTGTGCAGCAGTGTGAAGCTGTGCTCGTCTGCGTCCGGCTCGGCCCATTCAGTGGGACTGATCCTGCAGGGAAATACTAAAGATCTCACAGCAGCAAGAGACATACGTATGTACACGTCCCGAGTCAGGGGAGGCGCTGGCAGGAAATCACTGCCAAGGCCACACAGTCTTCTACACTTGCTGTTATAAGTTATGATAATAGAATTGCATTTAACATCAGGATGTGGAAAGATGGATGTGTGACCAGATACTGTATGGAAAACCCCCACACCCCTCCTACATAGGAGCAATATAATATTATTTACTGTATTATATAGTCATTTTATATTATTTTACATCTCTTTGTAGTTATTTTGTAGCTGTTTCGATTGACTCTCTAACAGAAAACGTCATCTGCATACAGAGGATCAATTTGGGGGCCAACTACTGTATCTACCACCTTCTGACTCGGGTGGGGAGGGGCACCAGGGTTGGTCAATCAGATTCTGAGAAGGGGTGCTGAAATTTTGAATTTAAATACCTCCTCATGCTCTGATAATCGACACATTCCCACAAGCAGTGCTGAGGACACGGGCCTCTGTGTCCCAGCAGCTACGGCAGATGGAGACATAGCATCAGCCAACTGTTTGTGGGGACGTTTTGAAGCCTGCACTCACCTGCCCACCAGGAAGATGCAGAGACCTGTCAGCAGGAACGCGATGAGGATGCCGACCCACATGTCGGTGGAGAAGGGTGACAGCAGGCTGAAGGTGCTCTCCTGAAAAGCCAAGTCTTTTCGCAGGATGAAGCCGATTCCTGTTTGCATGAAGGGGGTGGTCATGTCCACATACTGCTCTCTGACAGCAGTGAGGGTCAGTGGGGCCACAGCCAGGTCAGCCTCCTAATGGACGGTACATGCAAAGGAAATTATGATCTATTCTATGTATGATCTAATGATTTTAGTTGATTTGAGTAGAGAACTGTTACAAGGGAGAAATGTACATTTACTTCTCGTGTCTGTAAAGACAAGACAGTGAGACCTTTTCTGCTCATGACCGAGACCTTGGTGTTTGGAACGCCTTACCTCACCTTAAGTAGACACAGGTCATGTGGTTACACAGTCAAAGGTGTTGATAGAATTTGTTAGTACCTGATTTGGTGCCTTTTCATTCTCTTTTTACCATTTGCACGCCGTATACTGTAGACCACAGGTCCTCAGCCTTTTCCAACTCATGTCCCACTTGAAAATCTCAAAAATGTTGGCGATCCACATCTGACCCCATAACAATACGGAGGCCAAATAACGCATTCTCAGAGCACTTTTTTATTTTCGGGATTGAACTGAAAGTAGTGGAATCCCTTGTTGATTAAATTACTATGAATTAGAAATTTTTTCTTTGAGGTCTGGTGTATTTTGTTTGACATTGGTGGAGGTCCGTGCTCTGAGTGTCCTTCTAGTGTAATATTATATATAGATGATATAGTATTTTTATATTTGTACTTTGAGTTGAGCTTTAATAATTTATTTAAATATTTAAGTATGTATTGGTTCATTTATAAATGAAACTCCATTTTCAACATGTTTCTTTATTTAAAAAACTTTTGTTTCTTTATTGGTTTTCAACTCTCTGGGTCTCTACACATAGACACACAGTTTCAGATATCAGGTTTACTGATCTCTCCTTCGACATTTTAAAACAGAATGGGATCCCACATGGCCCCATATGCAGACCTAGGGGTATACATTCAACCAACGCAGATGTGCAGATATGCTTTAAGAATATAAATGTAAGTGTAAGTGATCTGCTTATTGTTGCGTGGTCTCTGACTTACCCCTCTGATGATCTCACCAATCATGCCGTTCCAGTTGCCGCTGGAGTCCAGGGCTCCGTAGCGATTGTCCTTGACCAGGTGCAGTTTGTAGTTGAAGCCCAGCTTCTTGGACAGCTCAGAGATCAGATCGATGCAGTAGCCCTCCAGCTCAGAGCCTTTGCTCATGGTGTACGGGTCTTGCTGAGGAAACAAAACAAACAACCTCAGCTTTAATGTGGAGTGTGAGGGATCACTGTGGGTGATTTGAAGATGTGCAGGACATATATTATAAAAAGGAGCATATCCACCGTGAAGTTGTGAAGTAAAATCTTATAACTTGAATTTTCGTAGCTTTTAATTTGTTCACTCTTTGATTTAGTAAAAAGAAAATCTCAGGATGTGAAAGATTAATTAAACGTTACACTGCAACTCATGTATATTTAAATAATTCTGTCTTTTTCTTGAAGCAGTGGTTTTTAGGATTATAGACAGAAAGGACTTGATAATCATTCTGAAGATATTTTTTGAAGTGTACAGCTTAGTTTAGTCCAGTTCATTATTCCCACCGACGTTGAGATGTGGGAACAGTCAGACAGGTTGTAAACAAACCACCAGTCTATTCAGATTATCTCAACTACTTCATGTGAATGTTAAACTGAAAGTGAACACACCTAATATATTGGTGATAATGGTAAAGGCTTGTACAGTAGGTGAGCTCGGGATGTACTTGCTTTTTACCAACACGTGTGTAGACGAGAAGCTGCTGTTTGTAAACTAAAGCGTGCGCTACGTGCTTTTTACTAGGAGGAATGAACAGTTTCTCCACCAGGCGGCAGATCAGGGTGTGAGATCTGACGTGCAGAGGCGCAGCTTGTGAACAGGCAAAGACGGAAAAATAGTTTGGGGACGCAGGCTGTTAGGGGGCTGTTCGTTGGTGTCAGATTTATTACTTAATGTTGATGAACCCTGATTGGAGGGGCCTCGCCTTGGGCCCCAAAAGACTCTAGAATCGCCACAGCTCACGAGGTTCCTATAACATTGGTATTCAGGTGAGGACAGGGCCAGTGTCGACAGTGACAAGCCTCTGTTAGTTTCTCATTAAAACTTTCTATCATTGTTGTGGTTTGTTCAGAATCTGCTGCTGATCTCGCCTCATATCCTGATACACTGCCCCCATGTACTTAATCGAATCTGTTGAACAAGTGACAGTAATTTCTAAAGACGCACAAGCAACAACCCCCGGACGAACGTATTATTGACCTCAGCCATCATGTGCAAATGAACAAGTAGTTACAAACAGTCAGAGGTTTAAACTGTGATAAATGTTTTCAAAGGAAAATCTGGTTAAAAAGTTCATCGGTGCAATTTTATTTGTTCCACAGAAAAATGATGACAAGACTACAAAAGCCAGACCCTCTGGGTAATAAACAAGAACTACGTTTCACAGCTGCATGAGGCCACTGCTTCCTTGGCATGTTGGTCTACAGAGTAGCACAAAGAAACAATACCTTTATAGTGGTGATGGATAACTCCTTGGCATCTAGAATGGAAAGAAAAACAAGCAGCACAATAAATTCTGAATTCCTGTAATGAAGCGAGTCAATAACATCGAGCATCAGCACAAAGATTAGAGGATTTAGTCTGAGCCATTTCTTTGGTTTCACATCTTCATGCTTATGTGCAGAGCGACTTCTGAAAGCTTAATGAGGCATATTGTTGCTTTGACTCTCCTGCATGTGTTTTTCTCTGAGGCAGTGAAGCCAAACAGCCACTGGGACAATGACCGTCTTGTTGTCGGCTGTTTTTCAGGAGATCTGAGAAAAGGGCTTCAGACTGAGAGAGGACATTTGCAAGGTACAATATTGGGGGGAGGGGGCGGACTGGGCCCCTGTGGGTGGATCAAAGTGGGGACCCGTCTTTAAGGATGTGTTTTTCTGCCCCACACACCCAGAGTTGCTGTAGTAATGACCAATGGCATTCGCAGCGTGACCAGCAGGCCCTAACATGCCCTGCCAGGGTCAATCAGAGGAAGGAGGGGGGATAAGCGGAGGTGCCAGTGGTGAAAGTTCTTCATAATTGCATGCAATAACAAAAGCGGGCCCGGTTGGGTCATATAAAGCCCATGACACCCTGTCAGCCTCCTCTAGAGAAGATGGCAGGACATATGATCTGCGGAGATGCCTGTCAGTTCACCGCCTGCCTGCAGAGTCCTCCCCCAACATGGTTAATTGATTTATCACAGTGCTTTCTGGACCGCAGCAAGGCGGTAGCCCCTCCACTGGTGAGAAATGGGACGCTGCCACAGTGGATGATGCCCCTTCTGTGCTTTGATAGGACTCCAACCATCCAACAGGGCCAGCGGGGGAAAGAGTCAAGTGTGAGGAATGATTTGGGAGCGAGACCCCGCATCGTAGGTCAGCCAGAGATCGCTGGCACAGAGCTGAGCATCAGCTCCACAGACTGCGCACAGAGGCGGGGCTGCTCTGGAGCAGGGGAGGATGTCATTGGTGTAGTGAAACCTTAATGGGGGGAGCTTTTCAGAATGTGAGCTGGTAAAAATGTCTGACATAAACAGAATTAAAGTTAAAAAAAAAAGTATAAATGTGCAGCTTCTGTCAACCATGTGGTTCTTTGACAGGAGATAGACTCAACAGTGGCGCCGGATGTAAATCAGGAGATGCTGAATCCTGCACTTTGAACTCCAAGGGGTGCTGGGCTGAGATTATCAGACCCTTCGCCCCTTCTGAACCAGTTACTTTACAGACTACAAACTAGATGCCAGTATGCCACTCAATGTGATGCTGACAGACAAAGTGGTGCCACAAAGCAACATGCAACCAAAATGAAAGATCAAGCTACAGACTTTTGGACAGCAGTACAATGACGACAGCAACAGCTCAGAGAGAAATGGGGGAAAAAAGATTATCAGACCCTTCGCCCCTTCTGAACCAGTTACTTTACAGACTACAAACTAGATGCCAGTATGCCACTCAATGTGATGCTGACAGACAAAGTGGTGCCACAAAGCAACATGCAACCAAAATGAAAGATCAAGCTACAGACTTTTGGACAGCAGTACAATGACGACAGCAACAGCTCAGAGAGAAATGGGGGAAAAAAAACAACAACAAAAAAACAGATCAATAAATGCTAAATAAATTATTTCCAAACTCTGTTTCTAATGTTTGTTTTTTTTCTGTTTTAACTGCCTTTTACTTATTTGGGACAGGGCACAATAATACATATTAGAACCCTGAGTCTGTTGCTGTGGTCTCACAGGTTGGAGCAGACCACCCTATCATTTCCTCTCAGGATCAACTCACAGGTTGATGCTATTCTCAGGTATGGTATTGCAGTGGAATAGGGCCACATTGTTCTCCGCTCACTGAGACTGAAGTCACCGACATTGTTTTTGCCAACGTCGCAGTCGTGCTTCCAAGAAAAGTTTTTCAGAACTAAGATAACAAAAAACAGAGGCTGCTGTGTTTGTTCCCAAAGAGGGAACAAAGGCAACACAGAGCCAGTCTGTTTCCTCTGATATTCTTTTTCTGACATCTCCAAGAGGGGTTAAAATAGTTTAACTTTTTTTTTTTTTTTTTTTGATATCAAACACAACCCTGAGTGTTCTAGCAGAAGTGCTGTTTTGCCCTGATGAGCAAGTGACGTGCTGCTGGTTGGGTTTTCATCCGTCACATCATGTCTCAGTGCAGCAGGTAGAGGCTGATAAATGAAGACTACGCTCTGCGACAAAAACATGAATCTTGACAACCCATCACCCTGATCTAAACGAACCATGTTCCACCATGTGTTGCAGTGGCAGGTTGTGTGTGTGTGTGTGTGTGTGTGTGTGTGTGTGTGTGTGTGTGAGTCTTACCTGCAGTGACCACCCATAAAGTCACGGCTGCCACACAGGAGACCAGAGCAGTGAAGCCTCTCATGTTGCCACGACCTGAAAATGACACTGATTAACACATTTTTTTTGAAAAACACAATTGATTTCAGATGTCGTCTTAACAAGAGCAGATAACATTTACAAAAACAATATATCGATTTTGAAAAATAGTATGAGGTGAAAAATTCTATACCAGAGTTTCCTTACCTCAGTTATGTCAGTTACGGTGTGGATTAAAACCTTGGAGGGACGACTCCAGGAAAGTGTTTAAGAATTTCACAACAACTGTTGCAAACGGCCAGTGGGGAGGGTTATGAGCAGCAGGACGTGGTGGGGTCTTATATGGGGGAGCACAGGGAGGGAGGAGATTAGGATCTCAAAGGGAGAATTACTCTGTGATTGTGGGGGCAGAGGTTTTGGCAGAATCAAGTCTGAAGAGAGATGATTTCAATTTATTGGATCCACATGTATTTTAGTGTTGAATTATTCTAGCATGAACAAGTAAAACAAACCATGTTCTTCTTCTTCTTCCCATAATCCAACTGATTAACAAGAAATAATACACACTGAATGAACTACAGTAACTACAGTCTTCGTTATTGTTGTGGACGTCTGGGGGACAATATGCCTGTTTTTAGGCCACTTCCAGACTGAAATGTAATTACCCTCACAGTTAACACACTTGTTTTTGTAAGGTTACATAACAGGATCTTAAGGGAGGTGGGGGGGGGTGGAGGGTTTAGACAGGGGGATGGGGTGGATGCAATGACCTTACAGATGGATGGATTGCTTGTCCCAGGGAGTCAGAGGAAGAGATGATGTTGTTTTGGAGCAGTTTCTCTCCCTGCTGACGAACCCTGAGGGACTCCCCGGCATAGGCTCAGACTTTCCTGTAATACAGTAGTGTTAATGTAAAGAAGCCGTCATACAGCTAGAGCAACACCTCTTGCTTCTGTTGTGACTCCTCCCACCCCCACATTCATTAATATATGGTATATATTTAAAAAGTAATTAAAAGTAGTGACCACAAAAATCTTGTTTCTATAGATTTTTAGCAGAAATGCATAAACTAAATTGATTTATCTTCACAAAACCTTCAAAAACAGGCAGTGATTGAAAGGAGAAAGGACAGACTGAATCACTCTTTGAGACAAAAACATTCTCTCAGGCCTGAAGTGCTAGACAGGGCTTGGAGGTTTTAGTTGAGAGGCCAAACCGTGCCAAATTGTCTGGATAAATACAGCTTCAAAAAGGGACTTGGTGGTTTTCTTGGAATCCTAATGAAGCCGTCTTTTGTGTTTGTGTGCTGGCCGAAGTGCAGAAGAGTCTGTGGCGCTAAAATGAGCATGTCGTGCTTCACAAAGTCTTACAGAGCCGAGGAAGAGGCCTGGCCGTGTCTGACAGCTCGCCAGAGGTGGCTGTCAGCTTTGGAAACCACAGACTAAACAATGGACAAACATTTGACTGACAAATCAGCGTCCATGGAGGGGGCTGCGTGGATCCTTAGGTCTGACTTAGGGTTTGGTTTTCGAAGTCCAAAGGAATCTGAAGTTTAGGTCAATTTGACCCAGTCATCCACATTGAAATGTTTATTTCAGAATTGATCCAGTGTTGTCAAAAGGTCCGGCTGAATCCATTACTGATGTTGTCATTAGGTTTCAATGGGCCATTTGTGTCCCATGCTGTTAAAGAACCCATGTTTTACACTTTTTCAGTGATTTATTTTAAGTTTTGATCTCCATATGATATATTTGTGGTTTTAAAGGTCCCATATTGTATAAAGTGAGATTTCCATGTCTTTTTTGATTATAAAGCAGGTCTAGGTTCTACATTAATACTGTGGAAGCATCAAAGTGCTCAATCCACAGAGAAATGCACACAGCCTGTATTCAGAAACTGAATGAACCGCCAGGACTTCTGTAACTTTGTGATGTCACAACAAAGCAGTCACCGCTCTCAGCCATGCCCCTTTGTGACACAAAGTTGCAGAAGTCTTCACGGCTCGTTTTAAGGCTCAGTTTCTTTGTGTGCTTTGATACTTTCACAGTATTAATATGGAACCTAGACCTGCTTTACAATGGGAATCTCACCTTATACAATATGGGATCTTTAAAGGAGTTTCAAGTTTGCAATTTTGCAAGAAAAGTTCAGAAGATAACACTGAAGTATAACCGAATTGTATTCCCTAGACGGTGCCACATTTTAGGGTATAAAAAAAGTCTGAGTAAATAGTTTGGTGGCCTAAAAAAATCTGATCTTGGGTGGTGAGCAATACTAAAAAGATGTTTTTCTCTCCTTTAATGACTGATTGAGCTTGTCGTCTTTGTTCAGGAGCATTCTCCCTTCCTGCAGGGGGTTTGGGTCTTTTTTATTTTTTTAGCAAGAGAGGTTGAGAGAGGTGAGGGCTGGTAAACACAGACCCAAGCAGAGTCCATAATTAGAGCAGCAAGCAGACCATGCCAAAACAAAGGCCAGAGCCTTTTACATGTCAGCTTGTATAAGGCTCAGTTTAACTGCTCTGTTAATGACTCTGTTTGTCTGTGAACTGACACAGCTGTTGATAGAATAAGAGTAAATAAAATAAATGAGCTGTGAAACTTTCAATCATATTCAGTTGAGATTTATTTAGGTCATTATTACACATTGCTTGAATTAAATATCATCCCTAAAACTTTGCACAAAGAACTGGCATGGCAGTGCAAACAATACAGCAGGTCGACAAATAAACGTGCTTCCATACAGATCATTTCCATCTTGTTTTAGTACTACGGACTGATGTGAACACAGGGTTTCAGACATGATGCTCTTGTGACCACCATCAGACAATCCAAAAAAGGAGTTTAGGATATTAACAAATCTTCATAAAAAAAGTCTTTGTAAAATAAAGCACAGCCTTAGAATAAACATTACAGTGCATAAAAGACATGCAGTCAACTAAAAAAAAAAAGGGCTAAACTTGGTACGGAGGAGGCTACCACTGCTTTAAAGTACAGGATCTCAGTGCTGTGACATGCCACAGGTCGGGGAGGTTCGCAACATATTGGCAGCTTGGTCAAATTACGATGTAACCACTTCACAAAGAATACTAAAAAATGAAGAGCTTTCGTCCTGCATTTCCATTTTTTTTTTCAAAGACACAAGAGACAAGCCTCAAACTGTACATCACCTTCAATATGATACCATGCCAGCATTTTCAAAATATTGCGAGTGGATGGATGGGCTGATAATAACGCTTTGACATTAAGTATTCATTTTAGTTAAAGTACATCATTACAGTTCAAGTAAATAAAAAGAATGGATTGTTTAAAATCGCCTCTAGTTGTGATCTATTGCTACTGTCTGCTCATGTAAAGTTTCAGAAAAATCCTCAAACATGAGAGTAGATCACAGTCAACATAAACAGCCATATAAAAACTCCTGGTTATTTTTCACTAAATACATTCTGGCAATTATCTAACATTTGGTGCAAACAGATGACAGTGCTGCAGTGGTTGCTTTTAAAAGAAGCTTGGAGACAATGTGTTCTGAACGCACAGGTTATAAAACGGATCTTGCACAAACTCAAGATGAAGAAGTGATTGTTCGTGGGACAGTTTTCTGTGAGACAACTGTTGAAATAATCTGCTTTATGAACCAGTTGCCTGTGAGAAATTCTGCAAGATATGCAACTTTTTCTAAAAAAAAAAAAAGAAAAAAAAGAAGAGATTTCTACTTGAGATAAAACTGGACTTAATTCCAAACAAGTTTCTAGCTGTGTCTCTCACGCTCAGTTCCAAGTCAGCCAGTTCTTAGAGTTTGAGCATGAAAAAGACTTCACTGTTTTCAGGGTCTGGAGAGGACTGGGACTGTCTGGGAGAGGAGGATCCTAGGGGGGTGAGCTGACTCAGCAGGTCCAGGCTGGTGCAGGGACTGCGTGCCACGCAACACGCCCCTTCGGGGTTTCCTCGCTCTTCAATGGGGCTAGCGCTACTTCCCCTGCCAATGCTACCACCAAGGCTAAAGCTTGCACTCCTGCCCTGGACCAGACCCTGGAGCCTCTGCCTTTCCTGGGCCTTCTTGGCCCTGTTTGCAATGTACCGCACCCTGCTTTGGCTCCTTGAGGAGGTTCTTCGCATTAGGGTCTCATCCACAGACTCTTCCTGTGACTGTCCAGGCCTGTTTTCTGGGGCAAAGTCGCTCGCAGTCAGGGGCTCCACATCAGTCAACTTCCGGAGTTGCTCTGTCAGGTTACTGGGTGGCTGAGACTTCTGTGGGCTGCCCCTGCGCAGCTGGTCCCTGGTCGGCCTAACGATGAAGCTGCGGCTGATGCTGCGGTACTTGCTGTCAAAGTTACAGGAAATGTCATCAGAGGTCAAATCCCCGAGGCTTTTGGACATAGAAGCTGTAGCTGTTGGGGTTTTAGCTGCGGGGGGCGGCCTGCTGGCTGCTGACTGCTTAAGCCCTTCCATGTAGAGTCGGCTCCAGGTGTGCCTCCTTTGAGTCAGTCTGCTGGGTGAGTCCACAGAGGCTACATGGGGGGGCTGCAGGGGTCGGGGCTTGAGCTCGTCTTCGGGGCTTTCACTTTGCTGAAGGTTGGGGTTGGACTTGCTCTTGCTGACACGCAGGGTGTCGTAGGAGACTAACGCTGAGTGACGGCAGTTGACCCAGGGAGGGTTGCAGGTGCTGCTGGCCGAGGGCAGACTGGTGAGGCTCTTCCTGGCCAGGTTAGGTAGGGACAGGTCGATGACGGTGTCACTGGAAGAGATGCTAGAGGAGGAGGACATGCTGTCTCGGTGGCTGCTTGGCTCCAGCTTGCTCCAAAGGCGGTCGTTCATGGTAGCATCAGTGCAGACCTCTGGTACGGCTGACTGGGCCTGTCCAGCTGAGGCTACAGCCACCCGGACATGGCCCTCACTTTTTGTTCTTCTCACTGGTGTGTGTGATGCCAGATTGCTAAAAAGTGCCCTCCTGGCCTGGGCTGTCTGAGCTGCAGGGGCTGCAGGGGTTCCTGTAGCCCCTGCTGCAGGGGGAGGCTCCGCTCGGTGGTCAGACTTTGACTCTGCCGGATCAGATTTCTTTTCTGTCAGAGTGTCTTGGTTTTCCCTCTGGTTTGGTGTGTTTTCCATGAATGAATGAGTGCTTCTGTTGGTCTGGGTGTCTTGGCTGCACTGTGACGGGACAGTTTTCTCAGCAGGGTTCGTCAGACGGAGTGAAATGGTTTTGGAATGGGTAGGAGGTTTCTTAGGATCTCCGCTCATCTTGATGGGACTGTCCACACCTCCATTTGGAGGATAAGTCAATGGGGAGTCTGCATTTATTGCT